TAAACTTTACACGCCTCTGGGATGAGCGGAGTGTAGACCTCCCAGGCGACGTCTGAAGAGATGGAGTTCAAGTTGAAATGGAAAACATAGCCTGAAATATGGAGAATGGCTTAGATTCGCTTCCGGGGCGGAAAGTTCCAAGCATGTCGCCCCAATTGCAAAGGTGCCAGGCATAGGATTACGGAATAGAAGAAATCGTCCGAGATGGTAGGGATACCAGAGGTGGCAATTACATAGGGATGATGATGATGATGATGATGTTGGTTGTGATGATGATGTTGATGATTATGATGACGATGACTGTGACGATGATGATGATGATTGATGATGACCACTACGATGATGATGACGATGATGATAAGAATGATGATGATGATGATGATCATCATCATGATGAAGATGCTGATGCTGATGATGATGTTGATGATGCTGACGATGATGATGGTTATGATGATGATGATGCTGGTGGTGATAGTGGTGCTGGTGATGATGATGATGATGATGATGATGATTACGATGGTGGTGGTGATGATGCGGCCGATGATGATGGTGACGACAAAGATGATGAATATAAGAATGATGCTGGTGATGCTGATGCTGATGGTGATGGTGATGGGATGGTGATGGGATGGTGATGGTGGTGGATGTGTTGGTGGTGTGGTGGTGATGGTGCTGCTGCTAGTGATGATGACGATGATGGTGACGATGATGATGAGAATGATGATGATGATGATGGTGGTGATGGTGATGATTATGGTGATGGTGTCGATGTAACGATGCTGATGATGATGATGATGATGACGATGGTGATTATTACGATGATGACGATGACGACGATGATGATGATGATGATAAGAATGATGATGATCATCATCATCATCATCATCATGATGAAGATGTTGATGCTGATGATGATGTTGATGATGCTGACGATGATGGTTATGATGATGATGATGCTGATGGTGGTGGTGATGGTGGTGCTGGTGAAGATGATGATTATGATGGTGGTGGTGATGATGCGGCCGATGATGATGGTGACGACAAAGATGATGAATCTAAGAATGATGATGATGCTGATGCTGATGCTGATGCTGATGGTGATGGGATGGTGATGGGATGGTGATGGTGGTGGATGTGTTGGTGGTGTGGTGGTGATGCTGCTGCTGCTAGTGATGATGACGATGATGGTGACGATGATGATGATAATGATGATGATAATAATGGTGGTGATGGTGATGGTTATGGTGATGGTGTCGATGTAACGATGATGATGATGACGATGGTGATTATTACGATGATGACGATGACGATGATTATGATGATGATGATAATGATGATGATGATGGTGATGATAATGATGCTAATAGTGATGATGCGGTAGGTTTGTCTCGAACAGTGTGCAAGTGGAGGGAGGTAGGGTTGCCCGCACACGTCTCTGGGGTTGGCAGATGTTTCAGCATCCTGCCATCCACCTCATGTTGCCACAATTGTTTATGACGGCTGCGCGCGGCACTACGGCGAGAGCCCCATTTTGAAAGTCATCCCCGATCCATCCGTGAATCTCTTGCACCCTTTAAGACGAACGTGCGCGGCGCTACGGCGAAAGCCCCATTTTGACAACCACCCCGAGCGTCCTGGTAGCTGTTGCAAAAGTTCGAGACTGATGTGCAACAACGCGAGAGCCTCGTTCTGAACGTAACCCGCCCTCCATCCTTGCAGCTACTGAAGACGTCAAGATTCAGGACCAGGAATTGTGAGGAAGTCGAATGCGAAACGCCCATGGCCGTGACACATTTTGTGGTCAGACGACGAGGAGCTGTCTATGAGGATAGGGATGGGCAAGGAAGAGGAAGACAGGATGAGGAGCAGGACGCGGTAAGAAAGAGAGAGGATGAGGAGCAGGAGGGGGGAAGGAAGAGGAAGGAGGAGGAGGAGGAAAGAGGAAAGAGGTAGGATCAGTGGGCAGGAGGGGAGCGGGTAAGAGGGGGGCAGGAAGGAGCAAGGGGGGAAGGAGCAGGAGGAGGAGGACGAGGAGGGGAAGGGAGAAGGCGGGGCGAGGGAGAGACGGGGAGGAGAAGGGGAGTAGGAGGAGAAGGAGGAGGAGGAGGAGCAATGTAGCTGGGCGAACCCCGAACATGTTCGCCCCCCCACCCACCCACCCGAGGTAACCAGTTTCAACCACACCGGTGACGACGTCTACCGCTTCGAGCGAAGCTGCAGGCCCCACTCGCCGACGTTCTACCTCAGGCCCGCGCGTCTCGTCTTGCCTCCTCACGCCCTCGTGTGTGTGCACCGCCTGGCGTGACTCGACCACATGTGTGTGGGCCGTTGGTGCACGTCCTCTGATCCCGCGGGGGGCGCCAGCGACTGTGACCTACCCGCAGGCGTAAGAGCTCGTCTGTGCACTGAGCCCAGGCCCGTGACCTGCCCCTCAGTCGGGCTATAACTTCTGTGTTCACGGTTTGTGGCACTTGATTTAAGTCGGGCTTGTCCCTCTACAGGGGGAATATTCAAAAATAATATAAAAAATAGTCGGTGGGCTATTTCTTTGTTTTGCATTTTGAAAGTATGTTTTGATTATTTTTAGATTTTCGCCCAAGATCTCCATGTAGGGGGACAGGCCCGACCTAACACTTGATCGGTCGAAGCCTCCAACGTGAGCTCACGGACCCGCCCCGCGTCGGTCCGACCGCCCTGGGCGGAGCAGGGCAGAGTGTGTTGGCCACGCTGCAGATCGTCAGGGCGGCCTTGGAGGAGGAGGAGGAGGAGGAGGAGGAGGAGGAGAAGAAGAAGAAGAAGGCAGGGGGAGAAGGAGGAGGAGGAGGAGGAGGAGGGGGAACAGGCGCTTGTTGGGTCTGGAGTGTGGTGAGAGTTGGGCACGGGGGTCCCGCCGAGCGCTTCCCAACGCACGAACGGCTTCCCGTCGCCCCCCCACAAGTTTGTTGTCGTGGTTCTCTTGTGAGCGGACGGCCTGTGGCCGCCACAGTGAAGTTCGCCCTGCCGCTCCGGAGGCCGTCCGTGCCACACGAGGAGACCGAGCCGCCAAAGTCGGTGTCCAGTGCCAACGTTTCCGTGTCCATGCTGAGTGCATGCGTGAACAGGAGTGAGGGGATGGTCGGTCTTACTCTGTCCTCGGGTGCGTGACTTCATTTGGGATCCGCGGTGCGGATTATTGTTGTTGCTGTTGTTGTTACAGTATCGCCGTCTTCGCCCACGAACCGCCCGCGACCTGCCCACATTGCCTTGACGAGATAATCGGCGCCTACGGAGGGCTTGTTGTGAAATGTTTAAAGACTGCGCCTGCGGCGGGCTTTACTTTCAAGCCTCGCAGACTGCCAACGACTGCCCCCCCCACCGCGCCCCGCTCTTATCCGCAATTGCGGGGGCTGAAGTTCGAAAAAGCAAGTCAGATCTGTTTCGACGCCCATGCAGACCCCTTGGCATAGGATTTGGAACTTTCTGGGGAGAGGCTTGCGATCAACGAAATTCGCATCCAATGTTAACCCTTAGGGCACACCGACGTGCAGATGAGCAAGGGTGTTTGACGTTTGGGCACCTTTTCCGCGCGGCTGCCTGCTCTAGTTTCCAGTCTCTGGCCCGGTACAGCCCGATACAGTCCCAACGTCACGCAGGATGCGCGCGATTGAGGATTACGCCATTCCGCCAAACCCAGAAAGGTGGATAGGCGATTGTGATTACTTCCGCTTCCAGCATCCTCAGCAGTCCATTCAGAAATAGTGTCCAGGCGGACAGTCGGGAGAAGGGAAATTGATTAGCACACAGTGAAATAACAAGGTCAACAATGCTAGACTTAGAAACCTCCGGGAGCCTCCTGGAGTCATCTTGGAGGTCGATTGGGGCTTGAGAGCCCCTGAGGCACTCCTTGGCTTGGGGGGCGGGCCCCCTCGCTCGGGCCGTGGGGGGCCCTCTTGGAGCCGTCCTGGAGGTCATCGATCGAAGAGGAGTCCCTAAATTAGACCATCCCGCTTGGCGGCCGAATCTTTGCCTCTTTGGGCCCACGTGCGACGCTCTTGCGGCCAGTTGGGGGGCCTTCGGTGTTGTCTTGGAGCGATTATGGACCCCTCTCGGGGCTCTCCTCGGCGATCTTGGAGCCATCTTGAGGCATCAGATGCCCGTCGGAAACGAAAAGGCGAAGAGGCAAAAATCCTTGAGATCAACTTCTCTGGATTTTGAACGTGCGTTGGCCTCTCGGGTATCCTTGGGAGGCTTCGTGACCACTTGGAGCAGTCTCGGGGCCCCCTTAGCTGCGTAAGAGCTTTTTGTGCAGCCGTCTCGGAGGACATCTCGGGCGCCAGCGGGGTGGAGCTGGAGGCTCTGTTGGCCTGCGGAGCTACGCCGGCGAGTGCAGACCCCACCCTCCTTCTGACGGGATTTGGGAAACGGGGGAGGGTGAACGGGGGAGGAGGAGGAGGAGGAGGAGGAGGAGGAGGAGGAGGAGGAGGAGGAGGAGGACGACGACGAGGACGAGGACGAGCCCAAGCCTGCGCCCGTCGCCCCCAGACGGGTCAGCTGCGGAAAGGAGGAGGCGCGCATAGCAGGGCGCCCCCCGCAAGCACAGCCCGCCGATCATCTCACACGCCTTCTTGGCAAGCGGGACCATCGGATTCCTCATCTTCTCGCAAGACCGATGAGTATCCCAGCGGAAGGAGGTGATGTCTAGGGCCCATCTTCACCCGTCCGAGAGCTAGGTCATGAATGAAGCACACGCCTTCCAGCACCTTGTGCCATGGAGCCAGTGGCCTCATCACCGTGCGTGTTGAGGTCGGAAAGAGATCATGATCCTCCTTTTTGCTTCCCATCGCTGGCCGACGACCGCGATCCAGCGGTGCGCGTGCCCTTCTTCTTCGCCGCTCTCCCTCCCCCACGTCAGGGCCGTGATCGCTGTGGCCCACGCACCCTGCCGCTTCAGTGCTACGAGCGCAGACTCGTCTGAAGTTGCTGATCTGTTGATTGTCGTGATGGAAAATCCTCCGCGCCAGGGCCGTGATCGGGTCGGTGAACTGCCGGACCGGCGGCGAGGTAAACGACTTCCTGCACGGCTACCTGAATCGAAGACGCCTCCGGCGAGCCTCCGCCGCCCCCTGCGACCTCTGACGCTTGGGCGGGTGCAGGGCGGCCAGATTTCCTGAGCTTCGAAAAAGTCAGGCCCCCAGAGACCAGGACATAGACTGACCAGGGCATTGGCAACTCAGTGAAACGACACCGTGTCCTGCAAAGTCAGATTTGGTCGTCCAGTGCAGGTTTCTGTTGCTGGTCTGCAGGATTCGGGTCTTTGTCCTGGAGTCTAGGTTGTGTTTTGCATGCTTTTAGGGCCTGTGTCTGGGTTGATTCCGAAAGTGTTGCAGTGCAGCTGTTGTTTCGCGCCGCCGTCTGAAACACATGGTTTCGAGGGATGCTGGGTGTCTTGGTCTAGCGTATCCGGGTTTACGGGTCCCTGAAAAAGGAAGACCGAATACACCTAAATTTTGAGAGGTCCGCGCGGATGTCTCGGATCGGCGCTGGATCCCCTGGCGGCGCCGCCTTTGGCTTGCTCCGCGCGCCGGGAAGGGGATCCAGCGCCGATCCAAGAAGTCCGCGCGGACGTCCGAAAGTTTTAGCGTGTGCCGCGTGTTGCTCCTCTGGTCATGGCCGGATCAGGCCGGAGCTCCGACAAGGGCGACGGTGCAGCCTGATTTGCAGGCACAGCGCATAAGAAAACATCTACCTTTAGGTCGGGCATGTCCTCCTACAGGCAGACTTTCAAAGACAAATCAAACACAGCCCAAACATGCGCAACAAAAAACAACAGAGCCCGAAAAATCGTCCCCTGACTATCTTGAAACCATTCTCGAATATTCCTCCTGTCGAGGGACATGCCCAACGTACATCTATCTCAGAAGGTCGCGCTGCGGGCTGCTTCCAGGGCCTCGAGGCCCACGTCTCCCCGATCTTTCCCCCCCCCCTTCGTCCGCCCGGACATATAGGGCTTGCACAGAGAGAGAGAGGGAGACAGAGAGAAAAACCAAAAGAGAGAGAGAGAGAGAGAGCGCGAGAGAGAGAGGAAGCCATGTGCGTCACAGAGGTGCATGGGCAGGATCGTGAACCGAGCCGCGAAAGCACGGCTGCAGGCCGCTCTGTGGACCGAAACGAGCACTCCTCTCTTCGGGGCCAGTGCGGATCTCGAGGCAAGCCCGGGCACACGGGCATGCGCAGAGAGCCCGGGCAGCGCGCGGCCGAAGGCGAGGGGGCACGGGGGGCGCGAGGGCCTGCGCAGCCGACCTCAAAAAGCGGTCCTGGGTATCTCCTCCTCCTCCTCCTCCTCCTCCTCCTCCTCCTCCTCCTCCTCCTCCTCCTCCTGCTCGGACGTGTGCACTCTTTCTCGGCCGGGGCCGTCGAGGAGCGCTGCGGCTCGCCGGGCGGAGAAAGCTACGCGCGCGAGAGCTCGAGAAGTGCGCGCGGGGAACGGACTTCTCCGCGCGAAAAAGGCGAGGCTCGGCCTCGCCCGGCCTCGCCGCGGCGCCTCGCCTGCGGGCGGGGGGGGCGGGCTACCAGATCGAGCACCACCTGTGGCCGGACCTCTCCATGCTGGCCTACAGCAGGCCGGCCAGTCGCCGGAGGGCCGAGGGATCAAGCCGAGGCGACGCGTCCTGGCTCGCCCATAGCCCTGCCAAGCAATGTTCAAAGGAACCTTTTGTGGTTCCCACGAGATGTTCTTGGAACATTCCTGGCTGGGGCCGTCTTGTTTTCACACATCGGGTTGATGTTCTAAGAACCTTGTTTTCCTGCTCAGAACATTTTTGGGTTCTAAGAACACTTCGTGGTATGACTATAGGAATGCCGGGACGGTCGGCCCCTGCTCGAAGCGAGACGTCGGGCCCCCGGGAAGCCAGGGCTCTGCAGGCCAGGCGTTTGAGAGTTCCAGCGGGAGGGGGGAGTTCCGTTTCTGGCTGCCTTCGGCCCCTGGGGGGCCCCTGCCGGGCCTCGGGGCCGTCGACGAAGACGACTCGGGACGACGAGCCCGCTCCGGGGAGCGGGTCGAGGCATATGGGGGACGCTGCGGACAAAGCACGACGACGGGGGCCGTGGGCACGCGGGGTGACGGCGCCCCCCCCCTGGGAGAGCACGGGGTGCTGGCCGCGGCTGCTTTGTTTCTCGGGTGCGCACACCCAGACATCCGACGGCATGGTCCGTCCAGGACGCAGCCCCAGGGGTCTAAGCCCCCTTGCCTGGGGCAAGCTGTTCGCCCCCGATCCGTTGCTGATTTTCCCGTGACCCGATATAGCGGGCCCTGGTGGCCGAAATCGAAGGAAAATACCGGGGGGGAAAAAATAAACAAACAAACAAACAAACAAACAAAAAACGTCGGAGAGTTGGGAACGTTTTGGTGTATCAAAGTTCCTTTTCTACGGGGCCCTGAAGATGGGCCCCTCTCTGCACGTGTTTCTTGTTGGAAGGCTCCTCCGAGGCTTGGTTGAAACGTTTCCCCGTGTATTCGGATGCGTGCCTCTGGCGATTTTCGGAGAGGGGGATGCGTCCAGTAGCGTCGGCTGGTGTTTTAACGAGGGTGGCCAGAAGGTTCTCCGTCAGGCCTGGCATCTTGGTGGGGGGCGTGCAGGGGGGCAGTCAAGTATGGGCACCTCGGTGCGCGGGGATCTCGCCCCTCCCACTCCTCCTCCTCCTCCTCCTCCTCCTCCTCCTCCTCCTCCTCCTCCTCCTCCTCCGCCGCCTCTTCCTCCTCCTCCTCCTCCTCCTCCTCCTCCTCCTCCTCCTCCTCCTCCTCCTCCTCCTCCTCCTCCTCCTCCCCCTCCTTCCAGCAGACGCTGACAGGCGTCTACCACACTAGGCCGATAGCTATTTGACGCTGCCGCCGACCCGCTGCCCAGGTTGCTCGCTCGCTCCTCCCTCCTCCCTCCTCCGCCTCCTCCTCGGTGGATTGCCCCTCGCTTTTCGGCCGGTCCAAAAGAGAGGGCGTTGCCACGAACCAGGGGAGTCCTGCCGGGATTTCGGCATATCGGGAACGGTTCCTGGGCCCCGAGGCCGTTAGAGGAGGCTGGGGACGAAAGGACTGGTCAGGGGAGCACCCTGGTATCCTGGGCCCGTTTCGTCCAGGATTTGCGTGGCCCATTAGGGGGGTAGGAGTGGGGTACAGCAGTTGCTGCACGCGGTTGGTCCTGGCCCCGCCGCCAGAAGTTCTACCCGACGCGCGCTCGCTCGGTGCTGTCCGAGGGTGCTGGCAGAGCTGGCCGATTCGCGAACGCCCCCCCTGCGCGCACGCCCCCGCGGCGGCGCGCACTCGGGCGGTCGGGCGAGCGGGGTGGCCTCCTCTATCCTCTCCTCCTCTTCCTCCTCCTCCTCCTCCTCTTCCTCCTCCTCCTCCTCCTCCTCCTCTTCCTCCTCCTCCTCCTCCTCCTCCTCCTGCTCCTCCATCAATTTTCCTATGTCGCCCCCCCCAGACGTGTCGGCTGGACGGGCAGGGCGCTTTGCTAGAGACGTCCTCACCACATATGGTCCTGACGTTGAAATTATGCCACAGCTTCTCGGATGGAGGGCGGGTTGCTTTCAAAATGTGGTTCTCACCTTGGCGCCGCGCACATTCGTCTTAACAGGGTTGCAGCAGCTTCAAGGATGGAGGGCGGGTCCTTTTCAAAATGTGGTTCCCGTCGTAGCGACGCGCACATTCGCTTCAAAAGTTTGCAACAGCTTCACGAATGAAGGGGGCGTTTGAAACACGTAGTTCTCGCCTTAGCGCTGCGCACATTCGCCGAAAAAATGAGCAACCGCTTCACTGATGCATGACGGTTCCGGTTCCTTTCTCAAAATATGGTTCTCGCCTAGGCGCCGCGCACATTCGTCCCAAAAATTGTGTATGAGTTCCATGGATCAGTATGGCTGAAGTCCTAGCAACGGTGTTCTGGCACGAATTAGCACTCAGGACGCAACAGTCACTATCATTTTTGGCGCGCACGATGTTCTGGCACGATTCGAGACTGTCAGGACGCAACAGTCACGTTGACTCGCTGCGCTGAAGTCCCAGGAATGGTGTCTCGGCACGGTTGATTTTTTTTCTGACAATTGTCTTCAATTGGGCACTTCCCGCAATGAAAATAAACGTTTGTAGGGGCATCTGCGAGGGAATTTGAAGGGAGGGTTTCTCGCAAAATCGTTTTTTGGTATTGGGTTTACGCTTGTCCTCCTCCTTCCTCCTCCTGAATCTTTATCCCTAATACATAAATTCTCCTTGTCGCACCCCGAGACGTGTCGGTACAGCGGGTTGGGCGGTTCGCTTGGGACTTCTTTGCCTTTTATGATCTTGACGCTTACAAGTTACAGAAGCTTCACGTATGGAGGGCGAGCCGTGTTCAAAGTGTAGGTATCGTAAGAGCTTGCAGCAGCTTCACGGATGGAGGACGTCCTGTTCAAGATGTGGTTTGGTTCTCGCTTTGGCGCTACCCACATTCGTTGTAAAAGCTTGTAACAGTTTTACGAATGGGGGGCGGGTTCCTTTCAAAATGTCATTCTCGGACTAGCGCCGCGCAATTTCGTGGCAAAAATGTGCAAGCGTTTCACGGATGTAGGGCGGGTCCTTGACAAAATGTCGGTATCGTCGGCGCCGTGCACATTCGCTTTAAAAGTTTAAAACAGATTTACGGATGGAGGGCGAGTTCATTTCAAAATGTGGTTCTCGTTTAGCGTTTCGCACATTCGTTCGAAGAGATTGCAAGAGCTTCACGGATGGAGCGGGTCGTTTTCAAAATGTGATTCTCGCGTCGCGCACATTCTTTCTGAAAGTCCACGGGAGCTTCACGAATGGAGGGCGGGTCTTGGTCAAAATTTGCGTCTCGCCTCAGCGTTGCGCACACTCGCTGTAGGTTTGCAAAACAATTTCAAGGGCTCTTATGACTGAGATCCTAAAAACGGTGTACTCGCAGCATGTTGGATTGCCATGGCGCAACAGTAACGTTGATTCGCGGTGTTGAAGTCCCAGGAATGATGTTCTGGCACGATTCAAGATCATCAAAGCGCAAGAGAATCGTTGATTCGCGGCGCGAAAGTCGCACACATTGTGTTCTGGCACGGTCCCAGATGTTCAAAGCGTTGTTTGTCAACCAGGCACTTCCCTCAGTGAAAACAAATCATCATTGCAGAGGTTTTTGGAACAAAAAAAATTGAGAGAGGACGTATGACAACATCTTTGATGAATCTAGGTTTCCCACCCCCCCAGAAGGGGGGTTGGGGGGAGCGCGGCCTTCTGCGAGAGCGGGGGGCGGACGGGGAACGGCATTCCGCGAGAGCGCGGGGACCAGGGCGCCCCCCCCCCTGGGGGGGGGTGGAGGACGGGGCTTGGTCCTCGGGGCCTCGCCGCGAGGCTGCCCCGCGGCCGCTCGAGACCAGCCCGCTGGACCCCACCTCAGGCCATATGGCACTTTTTTCAGCACCGCGCGCAGCCGTAGCCACAGGCCAAAAAAACAGCAGATGGTGGTTTGCCCGTCCCTCCGAGGAGGAGGAGGAGGAGTCGGAGGAGGAGTCGGAGGAGGAGAGGAGAAGGAGGAGGGGAGGGGGGCCCCCTGGACGAGGGGAGGAGGAGGAGGAGGAGAAGGAGGAGGGGGGGGGAGGGGAGGGGAGGAGAAGGAGAAGGAGGAGGGGAGGGAGGAGGAGAAGGAGGAGGGAGGAGGGGAGGGGAGGCGAGGAGGAGACGGAGGAGGGGAAGAGTTTCGGGGGCGCCCTGGCTGCCCCCATGGACCTCCTGCCCCCCGACCTTTCCGTCCGCGCGCGCGCAGGGCGCAGCCCCGGGTCCGGGCGATATGCGAGAAGCACGGCGTGCCCTACGTGCAGGACCCGGCCTCGGCCTGGGCGCGCCCCCTCGGGGGGGGCACGGCAAACGGCGGGCACGGGGAACGCCGATTCCCACGTCTGGCCATGCCCCTCTGTTCAGGTGGCCCGCGGAAGGAAGAGCCCAGGGCCCCCCTTCAGGCATGCCCCCGCTGAGAGCGCCCTGAGGGCGTCCAGACCTCCCAGACGGGGCCCGAGCGCGGGGTCGGGCCTCGAGGTGAGGGGAGCGCGCAGGGAGAAGCGGCTCTCCTCGCGGGGGCCATGGAATCTCCCAGGCGTCAGGGCTCGCGTAGGGGATCGACCACAGCATTGCTTTGCCCCAGAAGTGGTCCTGCCGCCGAATCTGCGGAGACTGCGTCAGATGCTCCGTGGCTCGATGGGGCATTCTGCGCAGGCGTCGTGGACTCGACGGGAAGATCAAGCCCTCGGGGTAAAAGTCAACGATGCAGTCGATCCCCTGCTCGAAGGGCCCCCCCCCTCCCCCCCCCCTCTCCTTTCGATGCGTCCTCGGGCCCCGCGCGGCCGCGCGCGTGCCTCGGGCCGGGGTGCGGCGAGGCCGCCCCCCGTCCTCCGGGCCACCCCCCCGCCTCCCCCCTCTGGCGCACGCGGCAGCAGGTCATGGGCGCCTGGCCTACCCTTTTCAAGGCCGTCCTTGGCGTCGATCAGCGTCGATTCGTCGGTTCGCGTCTGGAAGTCGATCAGATAGCGCCGGTCTGGCGTCGACTGAGCGCCGATTAGCGTCGATTCACGTCGGTTAGCAAGAGCCGGCAAGATTGTATGGGAGGTTCCCATGAGTTGCCAGCGAAGGCGCACCCGACCCTCAGACCAGGCGTGCAACGAAGGAGTCGCAACGGCCTGTCGTTCTCCCCAGCTTGGACCTCTGGAAGTCCGTCGCGGGCCCTGGTCGGGCGGGCCAGGACCCTGAGTTCCTGGCGTTGCACTTTGTTCGAGCCGGGCGCGTTCGCCTTTCTTCGGGCCCGGGGTTCCTCGCGGATGGATCCGGCTTGAAAAATGGCGCAGAAAGATGGGGTGTAGCTCGCAACGTCAGAGACGAAGAAAAATAATTCCGAAGCGTCCCAGAACGCTTGCAGGGCTTCGCGGAGCGCTATGGAGCGGCCGCGGTGCCCGATGCATCCTGCAGCTTTTCCAGATCCCAGATGGATCTCTGCCAGATTCCGTCTTCTTCCCGCCTGTGTCCTACCTGGGGCCGTCAGCGACTCAGGATCAAAAAGCGGGCCCAGGGCAGGACTCATTTTGAATTTTGTTTCCTCCGATTCGGTTCGATTCATTTTCGACGGCTTCCGATTCCGATTCGATTCAACTTCGGATTCCGATTTGGGTTCTGATTTCTTTTTGGAGGCATATTAGTCTGCCGATTTCCGCCGATTCGACTTTTCCCGACCCGGCTGCCGATTTCCGCCGATCTGATTCATTTCGATATCCGGTCCGACTTAGCGATTCGATTTTGGGCTGGAAGAAGTCGAGATCCCCTGGGGACTCGTCAAACGGATCGACACGCTTAGAGCATCACGGCTGGGCGCCTGGTCCCGCCTCGGGCTTTTCGTCCTGTCGTCGTGCGTTCTTCTGTTGCCCGTCTCTTCCCCTTCCTCCCTCCTCGATTACTCTTCTTTCAGGGAAGCCTGCAGTCTGACACTTCGGCTTCTGTTCCCAGCCGCTCAGCGTGACTGCTTATGTCTGCTGCATAGCTGGCGTCTTTCGCAGTTCCGACACTGTTGTGAGGTCCTTGCGCACCGAGGCGGATAAAAAATCGTTCCTCTCGTTCGAGAAGTCCTGTGCAAAAATTGGATTGGGAGCTCTGAGCGTCGCTGGGCATCGCTCGAACGCGTGCATTTTTCTCGACGGGGCCAGCGCCAGAAAATCTTGACCAGTTGGAGCATCTTGGACCATCTTGAGAAAAATATGCGCACGAAGCCACAATGCACGGGGAATGTACATCCGAGCGATGGCAAGGTCGTTTCCTCACGGAGCCGTGGCATGTCCACGATTTCGGCTGCCAGCGTTCGGTGCCAGATCTCCATCCAGGCCCCTGGACCGGCTCTACGAGCCAGAGCAGATGAAGCGGCACCCTCGTCGGACGGCCCCCCCCTTGCTTGAGGGGCTGAGGTGGCTGGTCCTGGGTAGAAGATGCGCCATGGCCAGGGCACGGTGCCTCGGGGGAGGGGGCCAAAGGAGCCCGAGTGGCAGGGCTTCTTTCTTTACACTGAAGCTGATGGTCCTGGGCAGAGACGAGCCATGGTCGGGGCTTTGTGGGGGGGGGAGCAGACATCCTCCGAGATGTTTACTTTAATCCGCGGCCCCAGAAGTCCCGAACCCTTCCCCAGGGGTACGTTCTCGTCCTGGTCCCGTGTCTGATTGCCCTGGGGCCCGACAACGTGCCCCAGGGGCCGACATCGGGGAGGAACGACCAGATCGGGGCACAAAGACAGATCTTCGGAGATCTGGGAGGCTGCAGCAGGATGCGGCAGGGAGGCAAGGAGGGATTTGGTGGAGTCTTCTGGAGGAGGAACATGGTGACGGGGGTGTGCCCGTCGCGGGATGCCCCGGCGACCAGCCCAGCTCGAGCGGCTCGGCGGCTCGGGGGGGCCTGCGGCGAGGACGACATCTTCTCGCGCTTGCTCAAGGTGTGGGGCATCTTCACAGGCCAGGGAGCGGAGCAGCCACGGCTGCGGGAGTCCGTCTCCTCTTCCTCTCCCTCCTCGTTTTCGTCATCCTCCACCTTTCCTCCGCCTTCTCCTCCCCTCGCTCCCCCCTCCGCGCCCTCGTCTGCGCGCTGTTACTCCTCACCCTCCCTCCACTCCTCCTGCGTCCTCTTCACCTCCACCATCACTCCAACTCCTCTGGTCCTCCTCTGGTCCCTCTCCTCCTCCTCCTCTTCCTCCTCCTCTGGTCCTCCTCCTCCTCCTTCCTCTTCCTCCTCCTCCTCTTCCTCCTCCTCCTCCTCCTCCTCCTCCTCCTCCTCCTCCTCCTCCTCCTCATGCCCGGCCCGCAGGCCGGGCGCACATGAGGCGTTTTCCGGACCATTTGGAGCGAGAGGCCGACATGATGGTGTGGTCTGACCGCGCCGTGCCTCACGCGCGGGCGCGGTGAGGGGCCGCAGGGGGACGGCGGAGGAGGAGGAGGAGGAGGAGGAGGAAGAGGAGGAGGAGGAGGAGGGAGGGTGGAGGAGGGAGGATAAGGAGGAGGATGAGGAGGAGGGGAGCGGGAGGAGCGGACGGCGGAGGAGGAGTGGGGGAGTGGGGAGGGCGGAGGGCGCAGCACGCAAGACGCGGAAGAGGAGGGGGACGAGGAGGTGGAGGACGAGGAGGAGGAGGAGGAGGAGGAGGAGGAAGAAGAAGAAGAAGGAGAAGCAGGAGGAGGAGGAGGACGACGACGACGACGAGAAGGAGGAGGAGGAAGAAGAAGAGCAGGGAGGAGGACGCAGGGCGACAAAGAACGAGGCGGAGGAGGAGGACAAGGACAAAGACGACGACGACGGCGACAAAGGAAAACGCAACAAGGATGAGAGAGGCAGATGATGAGAGGAAGGAGGAGGAAGAGGAGGAACAGGAGGAGGAGGATGAGGAGGAGCAGGAGGACGACGACGAGCCCGAAAAGATGGAGGGTGGGGAAGATGAGGAGGAGGAGGAGGAGGAGGACGCAGGAGGAGGAAAAGGTAATGATGATGATGAGGAGGAGGAGGAGGAGGAGGAGGAGGAGATATCAGCAGATATCAGAAAGCGCACCAGGGTGCGGCCACCGCCTCGGGAGATGCTCACCGCGGCGAGGTATCGGAACTGCTGCACGAGGGACTCGCCGAGGAAGAACTCCAACCTCGCCCCCTGCAGCATCACTCGGGCGCCTGCCGCACGCTGCGAGGACGATGAGGATCTCCCGCAAGCGCCCGAGGGCCGCTTTCCTCCGCCTCCCCGTCGGGGGCGTCGTTCGCGGTGGCGACGCCGAGGCTGGGGACGAAGGGAGAGGCGTCGAAGCGGAGGGGCGTGCGCTTGGGCAAGGAGGCGTCGCCAAACCCTTATGGCGCGAGCCACATCCGCCGTGGAGTTCAGGCGCGCGTCGGGAGCATCAGGGTGGTGAAGAGCAGTCTGGGGAACAGCTGCGCCCCGAGGAGGCGCTTCCGACGCGCTGGCGCCTGCGAAACTATCGTCCGTCTCCGCGTGGGGCCCGTCGTCTCCGCCGAAAGCCGCTCGCACGGACGCCCTCGCGACCGTCAGGATGGTCTCGTCTTCATCGCCGAGGGCCAGCATGCTCTTCTTGAAGCGGACGAGCGTCCACACGAACGGAGCGGTAAGGTTGGCGTGCTCAGCGTGCCCGTACTCTCCGCGCAGCGCGGGGCATCCCTGGTCGTGCGACTGCTCCGCCACCTTCCCGTCCTCGTCCTCGGGCACGTCGGGCCGTGGGAGGACGGGTCGTGCTCGCCCATCAGTTGCGCGTCCGAGCCGTTGTGGGGACGACGGCCAGCACCAGCAGCACCACGAGGAAATACACCAGCATTTGGACGAACATCGGCGTCGTCGCTAGCGCGAGGAACACTACCAGGACGAGGAAGGTCCTCGCCAGGATGGCGGGGGGTGGCCAGCGGCAGCCTCCTGGGGTGCGCCAGCGGGGAGGGGCGAGGCGTCCACACGCTGGGCCTCCGCGTCCAGCTGCACGCCGATGGCGCCTCTGCCGAGCCTGGGGCCTGCAGCGGCCCACGCGATGTCCGCCGCGGACGCGTGGGCGAGTCCGCCTGGCGGGACTCGCTGAACGTGCCACGCGGCGTTCCGGCGGTGGCGGTGGGAGACAGGGACAGCGCGTCCTTGGGCAAGCGGCACCAGCGCCGGCCTCGCCGCCAGCTCGCCGCGAGCTTGCGCCAGACAACACATACTGCGACAGAGGTGAGCATAGCAGAGCTTCAACGGATAAGCAAATTAACAAAGAATACGAATTCCTGCCCCTCCTGCTGCTGCTGCTGCTGCTCCTCCTCCTTCAACAGGCTGCAGGCCCTT